AATAAGAGTAAGTGAATGTAAATATTGTGAACTTTGTATACTGTATAATTAAATGTTTATAGTTTGGTCACTGAAGAAAATAAAGTGACATTGATTGTTGGTTGTATGTCAAATGTTTCTATTTTACAGTTTCCATTACTGAATTAGGCGAGCTCATCCAAAGACAGATTTGCGATATACTTCGGTTATCCTTGGCAGTCTAGTGAGCTTGATCGCACGATGGGATTCTAGTGACCCAATGCATCTCATTACCACTGAGTAAATATTTACATAACGACATTTATTGAATGTTGCAAATAATTTCACTTTACAACTTCCATTTAATAGCCGAGTTTGCCCAAAGAAAGATCTGCAATGTACTTTGGATATAGCCAGAGGTCTCCTTTAACGAGATAGATCTTGCGACCGTCAGAAAGATCGTGACATAATTTAACTGGAGTGCTCTTGAGAAAAGAAAATTGTTCAAGTACACGGATAGACCTGTTTGGCTCTGCTTTGGAACACACTAGCTGTACTCGACTCTTTTCAGAGAATTTGAAAGGAAACACTTTTTGAGCTACTCCATCAAATCTAAGTATTTGTCACTTCAGCAGCAACAGAGGGGAAGGTTGAATATTTTTTGCTATCTTTTGTAACCATAAAATTCGGTGCACATCTATTGCGCTCGCATCAGCTTTCCTTCACTCGAGAAAGAGAGTAATCTGGGGAAGATTGTCGCTTGTTGCAGTCTGAAGACACCATCATGATAGTCTCCCCGCAGCCGTGATGTTTCGGTCACGCAACGCTCCCTCAGACAAGGCTGCTTCAAGCAGCACCACATTCCGTTAGCCAATCAGAGCGCGACTCTAGAAATCGAGAAGCCATTTCCGCCTTCTGGAAATTCAACATGGTGGCTGTTGAAAAGGCGCTCAAAGCTGTTTGCGAAAAATTCAGATTTAAAGAGCTAAATGCATATCTAAAGGTTGCAATGGAAAAATTTATGCAGGGTAGAGATATTTTTGTGAATTTTCCGACGGGCTATGGCAAATCGCTGAAATTCCAAGCTCTGCCAACGATGTTCGACATGGTAATGGCTCGTCAGGGGAGTATTGTTGTTGTTGTCTGCCCGCTTCTTAATTTAAGCAAGGATCAAGTTGCCTATTTGAATAGCCTGGGTATTTGTGCAATAAACATAAGTGATGTCGAAAATGAAGGAGATAGCAGAGACGTAGAAGCCGGAAAATATTCTCTTGTGTATGGGACACCTGAATCTTGGCTCGATAACGATCGTTGGAGATCAATGTTGACTAATAAAGTATACTCCGAAAAGCTGTGTGCTATCGCAGTGGATGAAGCCCATGTTTTAAGGCAACGGTGAGTCATTTCTTGGTGGAAAATAGCTGACTAATTTTTAAAGTAGTTAGCTGCTGACTTCGGTCAAAATTCAACGTATTGTCCTTAATATAAATACTCTTAAACTGAATTACTCAAAATGAGCTCAAATTTCTAATTTTAGTTCGTCCTGAGATGAGAATAGACTCGATAAACTCGTGGCTTAATTCTAGAAAATGCTTGCTTTGTATACGTCGCTCATTTGTCAGCACAATTATTTCTTTTAAAGAACTATGTTATGTACACAATAATACCATAATAATATTTCTATGATAATAAAAACTGTCGGATTTTACTTCTCAGGGGTACATCAAGCACTAATGACCATGCTGTGTTCCGTGAGTGCTACGCAAGACTACATGAATTCCGAAGCCTTGCCCCAAAAGAGCAAATTGTGGCTTTAACAGCAACAGCAACTAATAAAACAAGAGACACAATATTTGACATTCTATTAATGAAAGACCCTTATGTTATTTTCGATAGTCCAAATAAGTCCAACCTTACCTACTCCATTCATTACATGGAAAAGGAAGTGGACATTGTATATTATTTAGGTTGGCTGGCAGATGACTTGAGAACCAACAAGGAAGAATGTGCTAGAACTATTGTCTACTGTCAAACTATTAAACAGTGTGGTGTTATTTACGCTACAATCAGAGGTCTGCTCGGTAAAGACATGTTTACACCTAATGATGAGGCTATGTTGGAAATGCTCCACTCTTGCACACCTGTGGCTAACAAAAATACAATTATGGAGTCTTTTTCAACTGAAGCTGGCAAGATACGTGTTTTGGTCGCAACAATAGCCTTTGGAATGGGCGTAAATTGCAAAGCTGTGAGTAGAGTTGTGCATTTTGGCCCTGCGAAGAATATAGAATCTTATGCTCAAGAAACTGGTCGAGCTGGNTGTTTACTTATTTATATGTTTGTTTTATTATTTATATACTTAATTTACTAAATTATTATGATAGCCACACTTAATTAAGTATTCTTATAATTATTATAAAAGTTCTATTCGATATTGCAGACTTTCCAACTTACTTCTATCGATCCAGTCTTTAATAGTATACCAAGCACAGTTGCTGTAGCATTCATTTCGCAGTTCCTTTGCTTTAAAAGGATCGAACCTGCTAGGGCCATACTGGGGCTCCATGTCTGAACACTTGATTTGCTGGTTGTACTTGCCATCAACAGAAAAGAGTAAAATATTGGCGCTTTCTGTTGCCATTCATCACAAAGGGACTTGAATTCAAACTTCATCAGGTCTTCTTTAGAAGTTTTTCTCAGAAGGGTGGGATTCTTACGAGAACAGAGGATCTTTACTTCTGTTGAAACCTGCATCAAAACCCTTTTAATGACATGTTGCCTGGTTAGTTGGCACTTCATAATTGCGGATGATATGCGCGACGGTTCACCAGAGGCTAATGCTTTTCCGATTCGGCTAAATTCACCGTGTAAGACATTTCTAATCGCTCGACTCGGATAGTTTATCTTTATCTCTGCTTCGACGTTCTTTGCTGGTGAAGACGTAGGAGTTGAAGTTTTCAGTGGACATAATGGCAGTACGTTTGCTTAAAGAGCATTTGTTGAACACAATGTCAGAGGCTCAAACAAGATTTTACTTATAGAAGAGGTAGAACTCTGCACTTCCCTCTCAGTTATTTCATGAGAAAGCTTTTGCGATGAAGTACATGGGGTATCATCAAAACTCCGCGATTTCGCTGCTCTCTTTTCGACAACGGCGCTACTCTCTTCTTCAGGTTTATTTAGCCTCTTTAATCTTGTTCTGCTCTCTTTAAACTTTTCGTTAAGTTCCCTTTTAAGTTCTTCGACTTTCTTTCTGGCGTTTTGAAGCTTTTTCAGTTTATCATAACACTGTTTGCAGACATAAACATCTGGATTGTGATTATTAGACAAATTAATCTCGAGTGCGAAGTCAACTAATCCCTTTAGATCGACTAAACTCTTCCCAAATATCGGCAATCTCTCTTTCTTGGCGGCTAATTTTGAGCAGAAGAAACAGTTGTCTTTCTCCCCAAGACATTTTATTGGTGTTTGACACATAGGTTTGTCATAAAACGTTTTGAAAGTGGATCAAACCCTTTCGCTCGAAGAAAATCTACAAACCTACAGCCGTAACAAACCTTCACTTGGCGCGAATTCCCGCTAAATCTGATTCGCTGATTGGCTAACAAAAAAAATAATAACCGAATTCTGATTGGCTCATGCATACGATCGAAACGGAATGTGCCGTTGCTTGAAGCAGCCGTGTCTGCGAAGGAGCGTTGCGTGACCGAAACATCACGGCTGCGGGGAGACTACCATCATGACGGCTGTGGTAAGTTGAAACACAAACTAAAGCGATTCAAAAACAAATGGAGCAAAACAATGGAGCAAGGTGAGCTTGTGAATGTGAAGCCAGTGTTCGTTCAGTTGTATCTGGTGTAGAGAGGGACGACTAAACTGGCCGGTTAAGAATTAACGCACTTTGATCTTTGAGGAACTACACGCAACTTTTACTTTTAATTATTTATTTAAACCGTATGCATATGTGCAAGCTTTTCCGCATGGAAGTCAGACAAGTTGTGTTCTGCATCGAAATTTTGACATAAGCTCGGTCGAAATGTGCTAGAGAGCCGTAATTCCTAAGAATATACATTTGTTTTTCCATTTTTTTTCTTCTATTGTTGTTTTGTATTACGCCATACAAACTTTCGATCCTTCAAGGCAGTATCGGAACTGATTTCGCTGATGTTAATGAGCTACATGGACAGTTCGATGCACTCATTATCAATTACGTTAAATTAGGACGTTAAGGTAAATGACTTGAAGGAAAATTTACTTCTCGTTAGATTCTGCTTCGAGAATCAGCGAAAATGTAAAAGCGCAGCTTTGTTTATGTCTCAGTTTGACAGACATGTGATACACTTTGCCCCTTGTGCTGATCTTTGAGTAGGGGTTTTTCCCTTCGTCACCCGACTTTAATTTGCATTTTGCTTATTATTGTGTTGAACAATGCTATCGGATCGCCTTGCAGAGGGGGTAACAAATTAATTTGATCGGATTGCAAGAAATGATTATCATATAAGGGGCAAAATTACTGAATTGTGATTGGTCAAGACAGAGGGCATTTTTTCTTAATTTTTGTAATTGCCCCGGGCAAAATTACTTGAAAATGATTGGCTGAAAATCGCTTAGCAACGGCTGCCAAGGTAAAGAAATTTCTGTTTGTTTTGTAACAATGGCGTCCCGTTTTGCGCGAGATCAGTAAGAAAACATTTTGCCCCTTATATTATAAACAAGTAATCACATGGTTCCTCGTAAAATTAAGGATTAATATCACTTGTGTTTTCGGAAGTTGCAGAAATTGCCCTCGTCGCTGCGCGACTCGGGCAATTTCAGCAACTTCCGAAAACACGCGTGATATTAATCCTTAATTTTACTCGGCCCCATGCGATTACCTATAC